CAGATTTTTCTTTGATTAAGGAGTGACTGTTACTTTTAGAAAAAATGGAAGTTGCTGGAAACACCCCCCCCCCCAAAAGAGGCACCCATGTAGCAACTTGGACCTGTCTTCCTCCCACACTTGAGGAGCGAGGACAGGCTTTCCTGGCTAGCGCCAGCCTCGGCAGCCCAGACTGGGGCTCCACAGAAGCCAGTGCCAAATGCCTTCACTGGGTTTTGAAAACTCCATCAAAGGTTTGGCTGAATGATATCTATAAGGGCTGTAGTGTTTTCTTTCAAAAACTGCAGTGTCCTTCTCCGGCACTTGAAAAAGAGTTGCTCTTGCTTTTCATCTTCTCCTCTTGGAGTGTAAACATTGTTGTGAGTGAAAGGAGCTGAAGGAGCGCTTACTTTCCCTTGAAATTTCATTTTTAAATAAGAGGGAGAGAAAATCCTTTTTCTGACTGATACTAATAATACAGGTCAAAGTGTCAGGCAATATACAATTAAATGGAAAACAAAAAAGGTTCGCCCTCTCTTTCCCACAGCACAATGGTGCTGGAATATAAATTACCGATGGCGATGAAATAATGCTTCAAAGCCTACAGCGCGGTGTTTACAAAGTGTTTTCCATGGCACGATGAGACATTAAGGATGACGGTAACCCATGGACTTGGGGTGATACTGAATAGACCAAAGCTAGCATGAGGTAGGGTTTTAGGTCCCTGTAGCCTGTGACCCCATGATATGCTTTGTTTTACAAGGCAGCTGCAGTTATCAACAGATGTTTCAGCTATAAATAATTGGTATCATCTCAGAAAAGATCCATCTACCTGGGGAGAGGGCATAATACCCAAACCCCTGCCCGGCTATTACAGCCACATTAATCTCCCATCTCTCCAGGTCTCTCAGAGAGCATCCTGCAGGTGTTTTTTTTTTTCCTGGGAGAGTGCTGACGAAGTCTCTCAAGAGGGCGAGCTTTGTGTGGACTGTAAAGGAGGCTGGCCCCTGTCATAAATTTCTGTCGGTGGCCACACACCAAAGGGGAAAGGATTGGAGACTGGGGGAGAAGGAAAGGAAAGGGTGAGGAGGGAGGGTGGAACTTGGGGCTGTCCAGATAGCAGAGCACACAAACCGTTCTTGATGAAGTGGCCATGCAGAGAGCTCCATGCTAAAGGACTCTTAATTTCACCAGCTCAGAAATGGCAGAAGAGTTCTCTGCAGCTTACTTTTTTTTTCTCCAGCATTTTACATTTTGCTTTGCTCTCTGGGTGGTGGGATTGACTGACAGACAAAAATGCTACTTTTGAAGGCTGAAGGGGAAGATTTTTTTTTTGTGGGAAGAATTCATGTTGGGATTATATATGAACTGTAAGAAGAAATAATAACTGAAAAAGACAGGTTAAGGTGTTTAGCGGCTTTTCCTGTAAGCTCAGAGACTAAAAGTTCGGTGGTTTTCAAGACATGGGCATGAAGCTCCTCCGACTGACAGTGAGGTGGACGGCATGCTTGATGAAAGCAAGTCACTCCTGACGAGCTACACTCTCCAAAACAGTAAGAGTTTGAGAAAGCCTGGCCCGTGGAGAGCTATAGTTCTCTCTACATATAAACAGAGTGGTTTAGCAATTGTGCACTTGGGGTCTGGCACAAAAGGAGAGCATCCTAAGAGTCTGAGGAGGTGTGGTTGCTTAATTTATAGCTTGCTGGGTAAGCTAAAGAAAAACGATGCCCAGAGTTCAGAAAGCTCCCAGATTAAAGCCATTAGGGACTAAAGGCGGCTCAGTGGGAACAAACCCCCTCTGTTTTCACTGCCTGTTTCCACAGTTGGTAGGAGGGAGGACGTGTATACTCTTGAAATGATTCAGACAACCCCCAAACGGCTTTCCTCATCTTTTTTTTTAAAAGATAGATTTATGTATTTATTTATTTATTTGTTTGTTTGTTTATTTGTTTGTTTGTTTATTTATTTATACAGTGTTCTGTCTGCATGTGTGCCTGTGTGCCAGAAGAGGGCACCAGATCTCATTATAGATGGTTGTGAGAGCCACCCTGTGGTTGCTGAGAATTGAACTCAGGACCTTTGGAAGAACGGCCAGATGTTCTTAACACTCTAAGCCATCTCTCCGGCCCAACTGCTTTGCTCTTAATTCACACTGCAAATCCCAACCCAGAGACAAGCTTTAATCCCAGCAGCTTCTGTTTTCTCCTGATGTTACCACCAGCTTTGGATGCAGGAAGGAGAGCTACATCCTGCCCTCTGCCCCAGTAAAGATCAGTGATTGGGGGTCAAGAATTTGAATCCCCAAGGCCCCACATGATGTGTGTTGTGTGGTGTCTCATCATAAGCACCACTTTTTCGGGCACATAGCCGCTGCCTCCCTCTAATACTGCCGCGTGCCTTGTGTATTAGCCAGCAGAATGATGACAGCCCTTGTTATTTCTGGTACTTCCCTGAGATGTTCCTGGATTCTCATATAGTAAGGACACTTAACTTCAACAGGCAAACATAATGTCTGTTGACATCCTATAGATAGAGAAACATATAAGAATTCAACAAAACTACAGATACAGTTCTTCATCCACACTGCCCATTTCAGGGGTTCAGAGCTCTCTATCTAATGGCTACTGTACTCGAAAGCACAGTCGCTGAAGGCTTCCGTTGCTGCCAAGAGTTCTGCAGACAGCTCATAGCCATTGTCTTCACAGTCTGAGTATGGACTTTGGGTTTCAGGTTCTTCACCTTAGACTTGCCGTTAGACAACTGAATTGAAACAGAGGAGGAGGCTACAAGTCCAGAGCTGTCATTTACTCTCTGTTCCCTGGGCCAACGGATGTAATGGAAATACTTACTGCAGGGCTATTTTGATAAGCAAGATCCGGTGCCTATGTAAACTCTACAATATACAAGTTACAGCTGCTATTTCATTCTACATTTACACTGGTACCAACCATACTTTCTAAAATCCCCCACTTTATATGGGTTTGATGACACACACCTGTAAGTCTCCACTGTGGGAAAATGAGGAAGGAGGATCTAGAGGATCAAGGCTAGCCTGGGCTACCAAACAAACTTAAACCCAGAGGTCACTACTTCATTCTGTACAAGGTTTTCCTTTCCTCTGCCAAAAATCTCCAGCATACTGAACCTATTTTACCCTTTCTAGGAATTCCTGGAGATGTTCTTGTGTGTTCATAGATTAAGGGATCATTCCCGAGAGCCTTTCCTTCAACAGGAGAAAAACCGTTATTTATGTATTCATGGGAAATAATCCCTAAACATAAAACCTTGTAAGCCCAGTAAAAATTCTGGAGTGCTGACATCACTTTCATGCCTGATCTCCACACATATATATTTTATGTGAGGAAAAACACATTTATGTTAATAAATTTCTTTGATGATCACCTGAGAAATTAAAGGTAAAAAGTAAAAAAAAAAAAACGAGGCTGGAGAGACGGGCTAGTGGCTAAGAGTACTTACTGCCCTCACACAGGACCTGGGTTCTGTTCCTAAAACCCCTACGGTAGCTCACAATAATCTTTAACTCCAGTTCCAGGGGATCAGACACCCTCTTCTGGCTTCTGCAGGCATCAGGCATGCTTGTGGTAACATACATACATGCATGCAAACATCCATACACATAAAATAAAAATAAATAAAACTTTTTTTTTAAAAGCAATGCTGCCACAAACGAAAATGATACTCCTTTTAACTCTCCATGGAACTCAGATAAGGTCTTGAGCCTTAGCTGGCTTCTTATGCTGTTTTGTTTTTGTTTTTGTTTTTGTTTTTTTTTAAAAACACACGAGGGTCTTTTTATTACAAGCTCAAGCTGGGTGGCTGCCTTGTACAAAGACATACGGGCAAGCGACCCCCAGCCCTGGGAGATCAAGGTTTTTAAAGGAACAAAAACGCCAGTGGGGTAGTTCAAGCCTTGGCATTACAGGATTGAGTAAGAGGAACACAACACAAGCGGGTAGTCTCTAGGGAAGCTGACCTTTAAAATGATTGGTCTGTTTTTAGGCGCCAAGACTGCTAACGGTCAGGCCTAGCTACCTGAGGGACATCTGACCTCTCTCTTATGCTGTTCTTAAAAAAAAAAGTTACTTTTTTTTTTTTTTTTACCAGTTCTTTGGAAACCAGTACATAGATTATACCTTGATCATATGTTCACTTCCCGTTCCTCTCCATCACTCCTCTCAGATCTCCCTAACTTATATTTTAATGAACCCCGTACTGTCCTTAGTGTCCCTTCTTATGCAGGATAGAGGCATCAGTTCTTCAGTGGTTCTCAACCTTCCCGATGCTGTGACCCTTTAATATGGTTCCTCATGCTGTGGTGACCCCAACCATAAAATGGCTCCATTGCAAAATCGTAATGTTGCTGTTGTTATAAACCGTAATGTAAATAACTGACACGTGACCCCGGAGGTTGCAGTCCACAGGTTGAGAACCACTGGTTTAGTTGGGTTCTGTCATGTGAGGTGAGGACTAAGTACATCCATGACCTTGACTTGACTCTTCCGGAACAGCCTTAGTCATGAGGAGCTAAGAGAGTGAACAGGATTGCAAGGGTAGGCGGGAGCAGCATGATGTGGATCAATAGCTTAGACATCAAGATGAGATGGGGAAGCCTTTTAAAAATAATAATAATGATATTATTATTATTATTATTATCCAACATCTAGAAAATATCCTTTCAAAACAGAAATGTTTTGAAGCACGGTAGAACCGCAACAACTCCGGCTCGCCAAGAAGACGGGACTATTTCAAGGCAACAGGATTCAGAACGTACCCTACACCCACCCTTTTACACTCGCATTAGGTTTTCTTTCTCACACCAGGGGTTGCAGGAAAACGACGTGTTTGAAATAGCTATTTTCCCCACATTAGTCAACCTGGCAGAGCTGACCATAAGAGTAGGAGCTCTCTTGTACCTCAGAGAAATTTAATCTGCTAGACCACTTAGAGTCTAAATGCCTCACTTGGGGATGTGAGGCGACAGGTGGTGAGACTCTCCCTACCAGCAACTGCTGCAGCCCGGCGCCAATCACATCTTGCAGGTTTGTTTTGTCCTCTGGGCTCATGGCTTGTTTGTACTGCCACTTTTCAGGCACGAAGGGCCACTTCATTTCCTTTGCCTCCTGGATCAGGGTCCTTAGCTCGCTGGGGAGTGAAGCTGAAAAGGTCAGAGTTCAGTTGAGGAAATTGCAGTCAAAGAAAGGGCTGTTGAGTTTCCCCGTGTTATGATGAAGCACCTCAGTGGCTAAAACACTTTTCCTATCTGTTGCTGCCTGGTCCAAGCTGTTGGGGCTGCCTTGAAGAATAATAGCAAGGAGCTATCTGTCAAGGGTGAGTCTGCTCTGCCCTACAGGTAAATTGGGGTAGTCAGGCATTAAGAACGGTTTTTAACAGGAAGGGAACCACTTGAGTGTCTCTGCATGAAGAATCAGAGAAAGGCACGGAGGAAATGTTCTTTCCCCTGTAAAGTGAGAACAGGGCTAGAGTGCAGTGGCATTTGGAGCTCATGGCACCTGAGAAGGGAATCAATTTGTTCAGCCTCTTCTGCTTCTCTAAGACCTCGGCCTGTCTCACCCTTTCAGCGCTGATTGATACTTGAATACAGACAAAAAGCACAATCCCACAAACAGGACTTTCGGTGATGCCAGTTAATTGTGAAGTGGGCTCATTCCACATTAGCAACTGTGTTAAGTCTCTCAGCGAGAACCCTTCTTAACTATTCTGGTTTACAGTCCAAACTCCAGAAACACACACACACACAAGCTCTGGAAACTGGAAGTGTTCCCTCTAATTTTGACATCCAAACCACAGCATCTGAGTAGGACTGTCTTACCTGACACTCAAGATTTCACAGTAAGAAGTACTACACGTCTTGGGAGGCCCATTGTCTGCTTCACTATGATTGTAATTCATGGTTCATGCTCCACAGGACCTTCCTCGTAAGGGAAACACTCTCAGTTTTGAAGTACATGTGATGTCCCAGGGTTCTGAACAAGGTTGTCTATAGACTTCTCTCTGTCTTGGGTTTCTTATTGAACATATTCCAAACTGAATTCATCAGTGTAAGGACAAGTGTTAATTCAGAGCACCCAAGAACAAGTTCTCAGCACAAAAAAAGATTGGTTTGGTCCCAGAGGGACAGAGGACAGGGAATAAGAGACAGACACAAAAGACGGAGGATGAGGGAGACCAAGAAGGAGGCAATGGAGAGGGGGCAGGGATATCCATCCTGGAGGGGGGCCAGAGGAGGCAGACATACATAGGTGTATAGCAAAACAGGGCCTTACAAAGGTAAAGGAGGAAATCCTGTGTTAGGATAAGGTTTTGTTTTGTTTTTGTTTTTTGAGATACGGTTTCTCTGAGTAGCTGGCCTCAGACTCACAGAGACCCACTTGCCTCTGCCTCCCAGAGTGCTGAGCTTACAGGTGCACACCACCTTGACCTTCCAGCTTTAGTCTTAATTTGGCATGTTAATTAGGCGAGCCAAAAGGAGCTTCTGATTGCTGGACTTTAGTACTTTGAAAGCTGGACCCTGGTAGTAAGCCTCAGCAGGAGGAAGTGGCTAAATAAGGGAATAGACCTTGGGGAATAACTTCAGGGATGTAATCTAATGGTTTTAGCAAGGCATAGAGAATCAGGGAGATGGGGAAGGCCTGCCAGGGCCATGTTTTCGAGATGGCTAGAATCCCTCCAATCAGCAGTTTTCTAATTCCACTTCCCTCTGCTGCTGTTTTGATGAATGGGACCACCGCATGCTGTGTCGCCCCAGTCTGAAGCCTGTCCTTCCAGATGTTTGCTTTCTCTCCCTCCCCGACTCAGGGTAACGATCACATCCTTTAGCTCCTAAAACACCTCTCCTCTTTCCTTTTCCTTTTGAGGTTTTCAGCCCACTCTCATAATCTTTTCTATTGCTGACTGCCTCCCCCCTTTTCTAACAAAATAGACTGGAACAATACTTTTCATGACTTGTTTTTTTTTTGTTGTTGTTGTTTTGTTCTTGTTTTTGTTTTTTTATTCTTTAGTTTTTCATATTCTGTTCTGTTTGTAATTGTTCTATCTGCAAAGCCTGATAGCCAAACTCAGGCCTATTGGTTTTGGCACTCAAAACAAACACTGCCTCTTCCTCTTAACTCATCGTGACCTTCCAGTGCAATTGAAATGCCTCTTCCATGCACTTCCAGACCCACACATGCTTAATTCCTTCAGGCTGCATCCCACTGTTCTGAAATCACATCTCCCCTCCTTCCTAGGCTGGAAGCATCCTCAACACAGCTATCAGGTTTCCTATCTCAACCCTTTTTAAAGTCCCACTACAATCGGAGCACACTGTAATGGTTAAAAGATGGAGGTAGCATTATGTATACATGAGACATACTAAACAGAGAAAATGGGACATGAAAGAAGAGCAGAATCAGAAGGGAGAGAAGGAAGAAAGCCTGAAGCCTGTCTTGGTCCTGGATAGCTATGTGAACTCGCCACCAGATGGGCAAAGGTAAGGAAGTTTCTAGACAGGAAAGGACAGCTTGGCATTCAGAGCTCCACACAATGAGTAAGCAGTGTTGATGACTGAAGATGGTTCTGTCTCTGGCATCCCATCGAAATTGTGGCTCTCTGCTCAGCACCTCTTGGGCCCTTACTCTGCAGTAGCATCCTCATGGATGCAGAGCCCTAGAAGTAAGGACCAATGTGCTTACACTTGACTACAAAATCTGTCCACGAAACTGCTAGTGAACAGTTTTCAGTTTCTGGAAATGCAATCTACGTGCAGAACAAATTTCTTCAATGAGTTAGTAAGATGGCTGCTGGCAGGAATGGTCCTGTGTGGTCCAAGTGGACTTACAGATAATGTCCCTTTCCTTCCTCAGTGTCTCAGTTTGACTGTAAATCATCTAGACACAAAGAGTGAAGAACAGCTACTTGACAATGGAAATCCTATCTCTGGGTTCACTGTGCTGTGCACTGATTAATTTCTTCACAGTATTGGAGAATGCTCTTTCTGCCTTCATCTATTGCTGTTAGTAGGACAAGGCAGGCCAGTGGTCTCAAACTCTTGAGACCACTCTGTCATCCCATGCAGGGATGACAGCCCAGCCTAGAGAAAGCTTACTCTTAGCTGGGCATGGTGGCACGCATGTCTGCAATCCCAGCACTCAGGGAGGCAAAAGCAGGCATATTACTGTGAGTTCGAGGCCAGCCTGGTCTACAAAGCAAGTCCAGGACAACAAAGGCTACATAGAGAAACCCTGTCTCAAAAAACCAAGAGAAAGAGAGAGAGAGAGAGAGAGAGAGAGAGAGAGAGAGATAGCTTATTCTTTACTAATCATTTTTTTTCTCCTCCACACCCTATCTCCATGCCAAACTGTAAACAGGCCAGTGGAGCACCCTGAAATACAAGACACTCCTAAAACACAGGTTTTAAATCTGTACTATATTTCAGTTTGCACCTCAGCTCTTTTTCCATTTCCCAGGCTTGCAGGAACAAGGAGGAAAGAGATGGAGTTATGTATGTGCCCGTATACCATAAATGAGGGAAAGCCCCTCCTGGGACCTTCTTGTTAGAGTATCTTTTACTCAGGTATCTTTTTCTTAAATGAAACACCAAAAGACTAAAAGTACACAGGAAAAAAATATTAAAAGCTCATATGAAGAACATAACTTAAACAAATGGAAGGACAATTATTTGATCAATTAAAAAGCACCTAAATAAAAAGGGTGTCCCTTCTAAATCTGGCTAAAGAAGAAATGATTCTTTTGTAGCTTTCTAGATTTTGTGATTGACATTGCTCAAGCAATATCTGCAACTACAAACAGCATAAACCAAGAAGCAGGCAAAAATCCAGATCATGATTTCATGATGTAAAGAGTCTTTCTTTAGATCGGTGAGTGTATTTTACAAATGGCATGAGGAGTTTGTTGGTGACCAAGAAAACAGAGCCTGTCCATGCTGGTGAGATGACATATTTATGGAAGCCACAGAAGCCTATGGAAACTGATGAAGCACAAAATTCTTGTTTGAAAAAAAGTATGTGCCACCATTCAGAAGTTGCTTCAATTTTTTTAATAATTGAAATTGTGTGCACCAGCCAACTTGGACCCTTTGTTCTTTCCTGAACTAAACTGTTTCTTGTAGCCTCATGTTTACTGAAGCCTAAAATTAGAACTGACAGCAATTCTCTGCAACAAAGTGGGCTTCTTCCCTGCCCATCAGCCTGCAGCCCTTCCCATTCATGTCCTGGAAATCCACTCATCTCTCGGTAGTCATCTGCCAGGAGAAGAAAAATAGGGCAGAGAGGAGAATGTGTCACTCCAGCCAGGGTGCAGGCATTGAACCTGCTGCCTCAGAACCTCACCTCTGCACCGCTGGTCCTCACTCTTGTCCTCCGTAGACACATCTGGCGTTTCCAACAAGAGACGATCCAGCACTTGCTTGCACTCATGCAGTATGGAAGCCACAGCATCGTGATTATTCATGATGATTACCCACCCTCCAGGATGAATTAAGTGTCCCTGGGTCTACGGTGATCAATTACCTACGAGAGGCATTGATTCTCCATAAAGAAGGCCCTTGAAGGCTGAGGTACCTGGTGAACAAAAGAGGGAGAAGGATGATTAACTAAAGCATCATCAATTATCCGTGAGCATCAAGCAGGGAGGGATAATAGAGCAAACGCATGAAAATACATGACAGGTCCTGAGGATGCTGTTAGGGGAGTGTGTGAAATGATTGCAGGGTCTGATCTAGATGGACGGTACCTCGAAGGCGTAGAGAGCAGAAATGAGAGAGGCTAGCCACAGAGCCCGGTCACCCACAGTGAGGTTGGTGAACTCACACAAATAAAATGAACGCGCCGGGTGATTTATGTACTCTTTTGCACACTTTCCTCAGAGCCTTTGGATCCCAGTAACACTGAGCTCTTCCCTTTCTGGAAGACTACCGGAAGCATCTGGCTAAGGAGTTCTAAACAGCCACACGCAAGCACATGGTAACGTGAAGCTGACCACTCTCACGATCCACTGTTGATTTCCCCTGTGCGGTATTCTTCACTGCATATAGCACGATATAATTTAGACCGAGAGATGCAATGACAGATGCCAAATTTAAAGCTCTTCACTGCCAGGCACATTGCCAAGTAAAACAGAGAAATGGTATTCCAAAAAAACCCAGTTTCCTAGAGCTGTGATGCAGATGGACCCAGGCATGTGGGCGGTAGATTCCTTATGCAAATATGAAGGAGATAGAAGGAGCTATTGCAGTCAAGGTAATTTTGAGAACAAAGCGATTTCCTAGCACCCCGAAAATGCCTAGCCAATGAACAGGAGCAATTGTTGGTTAACAAATATTTTGGTCTGTCTTCCTTTTGTTGAAGTTATTATCCCCTTTGCCCAGAATAAGGAGTGGCAACTCTCTTGTTTAGACACTTTTGTCGGGGGGGGGGCATGTAGGCGTGCCCTCACAAAGCAAGAGTCTGAAAGGGGTAACAGTTATGAGGATGGCCCTACTCGGAGGTCGTTCACACAACGAGGAGATCTCCAAGAGTGTTGAGGCAGAGAGTTGTTGCATTGATATTAAACGTGCCTTACTGTCTCATGGGCCTTTTGTTTTAAAGCTCGCAAAAGGGAACCTTCAGAGTATCATAGGCTTATTTCATTCAGAACAATCATGTGGTTAGTAGTGAACATGAGCAGAGTTTTCAAGTTAAAAAAATTTCATCACATTCCAAGAACATTCACAAAAGTGAGGTAGTAAGAAATCCGTCACTGGAATTATCTAAGGCCGAGTGTAAATTTACCACTGAGAGTGTTTCGGAGAGGATTCCTGCACAAATTAGCTTGTTGCACTAAACTTTGTCTGAAGCCCCTTTGAACTCAAGTGCCTATAAGTCATGATGCTTTGTGCAATAAGCTAGCCATTAGTGTGTCCAGCTATGAGAATAAACAAGTTAATTAATTTAGAAATAGAAAGAAAACACAGAAAGCGGGAATCCTCTCTTCTGAGAACTTCTTTACAGCCCTGTGAATAATAATTCTCCATCATTCCTTCATCTCCAGCCATCTTCTGCCCATCCCAGCAACAGTATTTTTTTTTTTAATTATGCATGTAATGGTTTAAAACAGCAAACAAACAAGCAAACGAGGACCTGATCATCCCTTCTGGGCACTACAATGAGCAAACAAGAGATAATTAGTGGACTGGAGTGGACAAGAGACCTTGTAAACAGTCACATCACATTCTCACCATTTCACTAATGAGGAAGGTATTAGCTACAGTGGGGGCTTAAGTTTAGAGACTGGGACAGACATCAGGCAGTTCAAAAAGGGAAGAGAAAACTGCTGGTTATGACCTGCAGGTGAGTCAGACAGTCACTTTTGTTTAGGTACCACATTAAAGCAAGAAGCAGACTGTCTTTCCTAGAACATTCTGTGGAGGGGTGGGGTGGAAAGGGCCATATAACAATGGAGCGTCAAGCACTAGTCTGTGCACAAAGAAAGAAAATTGTATTACAATATGATCCTAGAGGCTTAGCATCCTTTCTCATAAAGGGAAGACCACTGTCTTGTAGAGCTCATAGAAAGAGAGAGAAGAAAGGAGATTCCCAGGGTCTAAACGGCAGGGACAGAATTCCTATCTGCAGCTGTCCCACCCTGAAAGTGGAAGAGAAGCAGGGTCAGGCCTGACTTGAAGTCAGATGGGAGACTGCTGGGAATATTGGATGTTAAAGGCAATGACAGTGACAATCTAGCCTCCAACATTTCGCCTTCCCCGAGCAACTGGCGCGCACACACACACACACACATACACACAAACACACACACTCATACACACGCGTTCACAAGGCAACATGATTCCTCCAAAAGATCATAACTCCTTTAACTACTAAGCTGAAGACACTGAAATGAGCAAAATGCCAGGTTTGTGTTGCAAAAGTTTATTATTAAAAGTGACCAGTGAGAACTAGAATGATGCCTAAGCAGTTGAGATCACTGACTGCTCTTCCAGAGGACCCAGATTGGATTCTCAGGACCCACCTGTTGTCTCACAGCCATTTGTAACTTTAGTCTCAGGGGATCTGATGCCTTCTTCTGGTCTCTGAAGGCACCAGGCACACATGTGGTACACAGACATACATGCAAATAAAACACCCATAGACATAAAATAGATAAATTAAACTTTAAGAGGTTTTCTACAAATGACCAACAGCCTCACAGGGGATACATAAAAGCAGACAGACTCAATTCGGGACTTCAGAGAGGAATGTGAGCAATATAAAAGCAAACGTTAGCAAAGTGGGTGAGGCGTCATCAACATGGCTGAGAAAGTTACCAACATGGAAGAAACTTCATAAAGGAAGTTGAGGTTTTTGAAGCAAGTAAAATAAAAATGTTGGGGGGGGGGGGGAACCAATGAGCCAAATTAAAAACACAGTGGAAAACATCACTAATAGATTTGACCAAGCAAAACAGAAAATGTAAGGGCTCTCATACAATATTGAGAAAATATCATGCTTGAACAACAATGAGGATCAATAAGTAAGTGAGAATGACCACAATGTCCACATCTGGAGCTCTACCAAAAAAAAAAAATCAAACCAAAGAATCCATGGACTTAAAAAAAAAAGTTAAGATAAATATGGAAGATGCAGAAAATCCATTCCATGAAATTATAGCAGAAAAATTTATCAACCTGCAAAAATCCAATAGACATGATCAGAGTAGAACTTCTCCACAGCACTGTTCAGCCAAGATGTCAGAAACAGAGCTAAGAAACAATATTAAAATCTATGAGAGAAAATGGCAACTTATCTACAAAGGAGAACACACGTGAGTAAGCTCAGAGCTCTCACCATCAACTCCAAAGCCAGGAAGGAATGGAATGATATTTTTTAAGCCAAGAAAGTACCGAGATGTAAAATTTCTTTTAGAAATTGAATGATGTTTTTAAGGCAAGAAGGTATGCAGATGTAAAACTTCTTTTAAAAATACCGATTTTATTAGTGTGTGCACACAACTTTGTGGAGCCGTTCTTTCCTTCCCACCTTTATGTGGGTGCCAGGGATGAAGCTTGAGTCACCAGGTTTGCACAGAAAACTTCTTTACCTTCTGGGCCATCTGATCAGGTCTTGTTTTAAGATAAATATATTTTTTTGTAAATAGTATCCGTATAGCATGTCTTAGTTTGTTGTATCTCCAGGGATGCAGGAGCGGTTAAATATCTGTAAATCAATAAAATGTACCAACACATAAACAAACTTAAGGAAAACTCACGTGGTCATCTCAATAGATCCTGGAAAGACCTTTGACAAAGTTCAATATTTCCTTCTGATAGCAGTCCCGATGAACCTTAAAAAAAAAAAAAAAGCCTCCCATCTCAACAAACTGAAGACTGTGAATGACTATCCTGTAGTCATCATTTTAAATGGAGAAAATCTTCAAAGCATTTCCTCTAAAATCAAGATCAAGAAGAAGAGTGCCCACACTCACTGCTTTTATTGAAGATAATGTTCAAGGCTTTAGATAGATAAGTAAGACAAGACAGAGATATAAAAAGTATACAAATAGGAACTGAAGTCAACACATCCTATTTGTAGATGATAGGATCTTATACTTAAAAGACCCGGATGGCTCAATCCAAAACTCTTAGATCTGGTAAACATCTTCAGGAAAGTAGCAGGATACAAAGTCGACATGCAGAACTCAGAAGCTTTTTTATATACTAAAAATGAATTTTTCAAGATAGAAATTGAGGGAGGGGTATTCCGTTCATAATAGCCCATACAAAGAATTGAAATGCCTAGGAGTAATCTTAATGGAGGAGATGAAAGAGTCACAGAAACTTCAAATCACCGAAGACAGAAATTCAAGATGGTACTGGAAGATGGAAAAACCTCCTATGCTCATGGAGTTAGCAGAATCAACACTGTAAAAATTAAAATGTCATTGAAACTTCAATATATTCAATGAAATCCCCACCAAATTCTAATCACATTCTTCAATGAACTAGGAAAAAGAGTTCTAAAAATTCATACAGAAGCAGGGAAACCCCTAAATATATCCACAGATATTCTAAATAGAAAGTATGCTGGAGGCATGGAGAAACTTGATCTTAAATATACTAAGAGCCAGAGTAACAAGAACTGCATGGTACCTGCCCAAAGCAGGCATGTTAACCAATGCAATAGACTAGGAGATCAAAAAATAAGCACAAACAGTGACAGCCACATATTTCCAACCAAGGTGTCACTTACAATGAGGATGGTAAGATGGCTCAGTGGGTAAGGCCCCTGCCATCAAGCCCGGCAATCTGAGTTTGTTCTTTGGTACCGACATGGTGGAAGGAGAGAATTGACTCCTGCAAGTTTTCCTCTGGCTTCACACATGCACTGTCTCTCACACACGCACACCATAATTAAAAATGTAATTTGAAAAACTCTTACATTGGAAAAAGACAGCTTCTCCAACCAGTGATGCCAATA